CCTGCATAAAGGCATTTATGAATATCTAAGAATGCCTTTTGGTATCAAGAATGCCCGTCACACTTTCAGCGGATGATGGACATTGAATTCAGAAAGGAGCTAGATGAGAAATGGGTAATAATATATATTGACGATATCATCATTATGTCTAACACGTGGGAAGAACATCTGGTTAGGATCAGCAGAATCCTAAAAATAGTGATCAAGATGAATATGAAGATTTCCCTCAAGAAATGCAATTTTGGTTTCCATCAAATCAAGGCTTTGGGACACGTAGTCTCTGGAATAGCAATTGGAATAGATCAAAATAAGGTTGCAGCTGTCCTCCAAAAGCCTGTCCCCAGTAACAAAAAAGAAGTTCAATCCTTCTTGGGCTTTGCCGGCTATTACAGACAACACATTAAAGATTTTGCTGACATTGCAAGACCACTTACCGAGTTGACAAAAATGGAAATGGTATTCGAGATGACCCACCAAAGACTTGTTGCCTACAACCTTCTGAAAGAGAAGCTAACCTCTGCTCCCCTACTCCTTTTTCCAGACTGGAAATACCCCTTTATACTATATGTAGACGCAAGTATGACTGGCCTTGGAGCAGCACTCCACCAAGTCCAGACAATCAATAAGATTAAGAGAGAAGGACCTATTGTTTTCATTTCCAGACAACTTAAAGACAGTGAGACTAGATATGGTGCTAGCCAGCTAGAATGCTTGTGCCTTGTATGGGCTGTAGAAAAACTACACTACTACTTAGACGGAAGTGTTTTTGAAGTTGTGACTGACTGCACTGCACTAAGATCATTGATGAATATGAAAACTCCCAACAGGCACATGTTGAGGTGGCAAATTGCAATCCAAGAGTACAGAGCAAACATGAGCATCAAACATAGAGATGGCAATATCCACAAGAATGCAGATGGACTGAGTAGATGGGCTTTACCTAATGACCCAAGCAACCCTGCGTATGACCCTGAGGATAAAGATGATGACAGATTTCCCATTATGGGCATTCACGTATCTGATTTCAAGGATGAATTCTTTGAAACAGTCAGAGAAG